ATATAAAAAATAAATCAGTCACATATTCCTTTCCTTTCCTTTTAACATAGTAACTTATCATTTTCTCTAAAAAGACAACCAAAAAAAAATCTCTTCTTCCCATATCTTATCTCTTATCTATAAACCAATCTTCAAAGCCTTGTCATTCGAACCTTGTCAAGAATAATCCATTCAGAGCTACCAGAAACAACATATTAAGGATCCTGATCTTTAGTACCTCCAAATAGTGTCCCACGACTTAATTTCTTATCATTTTTTTTGCCTTCTCTCAGAAGCTCCACAAGGTTAATACTTACCAGAAAAGCAACATCCATATTTTAACTTTAATCAAATAAGCCAATTTTGTAATCCTTTACTTTTAACACCATATCTTATTACTTTCTCTGAAAATACAACAAAAAATATATTCTTCCCATCTTATCTATAAACCAGTCTTTAAATCCTCATCATTCAGTCCTGGTCAAGAAAAACCCATTAAGAGCTACAAGAAATAACATAACATATATTTTAACCTTGATCAAATAAGCCAACTTTATATTCCTTCTTTTTACTTTTAAAAATCTTGATGTTTATTCCCTTTAAATAATGTCCCAAAAGATGCTGCTTTTCATTTTCTCTTTGTCTTTTCTCAGGAACTCCTTCATAACTATGACACATCTCTTTTGTAACTCCAAGATAATAGAGTTGTCCAAGTCACTCTTCTGATTTATTATTTGTATGTCCCTTTTGGTTATTAAGACATCAGCCGGTTTCATTTGTAAATCCAGTATAACATCTTTCATATCAGTCTTGTAGCTTGTCATTTTAAATCCAAATCTGAAACATCATGATTATCAATTGTATCCCCTTCTATCTCCTCTTTTAAACCCATTTTTATGGTAGCAGACAGTCTTAAAAGAAATTTCTGAGTGCATTGTTCCCAAATATCTTTGAATTCTTCCAAAGTAAAAAATCTTTTCTCTATCCTGTATTAGTGGGTCTCTTCTCCTTTAATTATAATCTTTAGTTCTTTCTGGTTGCCTCTGGTGTTCAGACTTCAAAGCCTCCTCTTAAGTTTTTCTCTAATCCACATTTTCCTACGGAAAGATTTCTTACACTTAGATTCAAAATCTTCATATATATTTTAATAGGGCTTTATACAACCCACAGGAAGGATTCTTATATTTAATTTCAAAATCTTACTTCCAATCCATCTGACCCCTTAGTCCATTTGTAACTTTCCAAAATCAATGTTCTAATCACCCTTTGGCTGTTTATTCCAGAATATACAGTGTGTGTGTGTGTGTGTGTGTGTGTGTGTGTGTGTATGTATGTGTGTGTGTGTGTGTGTG